AAATTTAAAAAAGAGTTATTTTAAGCTTAAATTTTCTCACTTTGATTAAAAATTTAAGTGTATATACTTTGACACCTAAATTTAAAAAAATGAGCAAGTCAGTTTCCTCTTAAATGTCATACAAAAATAACTTAAGGATATTTGGCTAGGAAATTTTCTACCAAATATAAAATATTTCTACCATACAGCACGAAAAAAGAATTTTAAAAGCCAAATCAAACCTGTTGTTTGGAGGTACTAGCAGCTTGCAGTAGCGCGACGTGGTTAGCTACCTTCTGAAGAACTGCAAGGTAACTGAAATACAAGGTTTTCACTGTTTCACCACGTGAATTGGTCTGTAACCAGAAAAATTCAGTAAATAAAGATGAAAAAGGGACTAACATGGCTATGTAACTATTTACATCACAAAACATATCACAATATTATTTATTATCGGGTTACTATTGGCATAATACATTCTGATGTGTGGAACAATTTATGAGAAATATCCATAGACCACAAAAATATTCATGAATTGCTAATGTGGAATTATACTTTTGGTGAAGTATAATACAGTGATGTTTTTAATAAAAGAGGGGAGAAAGTCTTCATTCTAGAAAGTATTTATTCTCTAGTATTTATTATCTAGAAAGTATGATACACAGTGACAGAAGTGCTGCCATAGAGGTTCCTGGTAATAAAACTCCTTTTGTTTACATTACGAGGCTTCCTATGAATCTGGGCTATTACAAAAAAAAGTGAAATAGTTAAAACAGCAAAATAAATGAGAGATAGAATAAATTTTGATCTATATAAATATTTATTTAGGGTCCTTCTATATACAAAGTTATGTGACAGATAACTTGATAAAAAAATAGAGGTAAAAAAAGGCAAATAGATAGAAGGTAAAAATTTTTTTCTAAATAAAAATAATATTGTATACAGTTTCTATTAAAATAATATTATATCCCATATCAGAATAATATTTTAAGTCTGCTATGAAAGAGTAAGTTTACTATCAGTAGATAATGAGAGACTTGCTAAAAATGAATGAAATTTTAAGATAAAAGTGGGATACTTCCCAATAAAAGCTGAAATGGAGGATATCAAATTGAAGTTATTTTCAAAAACAAGTTTTCTGAAGATATTTGAATAGTGTATTTCACTATGATACTATTTGATACTGAAATATATTTTTTAATTCAAAAATATTTTTGGAAGTTATCCCTTTTTAGTAACTTACAGCTTCTAAAGTTAAAGAACTATCTGAGAAAAACTTTATCGGCTACTTACTCTGACAACAGAATAGAGTACTATATAATGAAAACAAGACAGAAAGATATACTGAAATGCTTGCCTTATAACAACAATTTCTCCTTTTTCGGCCACTACTGCAGGTACAAGGCTCAGAAGATTGAAGTATCAAAATCACATCTTCTGTTTCTAATACTGTTTGATAGACAGCTTTCTGAAAATCTGTCAGAGAACAATACACTATCTGCCAAGAAAAATACAGGCAATTACTAGTATCTTTTTTTATAACATTAATAATCACAATGCACATAAGAATTCATAGATTGTAATAGTGAAAACTACTCACAAACTTATTTATTTTTCTTCTAAGTACATTATTATGACAATGGCTCCCATTGCTCCTATATTCTTTGCCAGCACCCTACCCAAACTAAAAAAATTATAACTTTATTTCCAAATAAATCTGTTTGTTTTAAATTAAGAGGAATCAAAATATAAAAAAAGTTATGTAATTTCCTTATATATTTCTCAAAAATTGTGTCTTTTCATGTTCCACACTTTTAGTCTATCATGCAAATAAATGATTAAATTTTAGGTCAAATAAAAAACTAGGGATTCTAGGAAACATGGCAGAGTGAGAGACATCCCCAGATCTCTCCCCTTGAAACAATAATAAGCTGAATATTTAAAATTCAACAAAAAACACCTAAATTGCACACCAGCATGTCTGAGCATGGAATCTGAGTATAAGAGCTACCATAGGTCAGAACCCTGGGTGTCGGGCAGCGGACTAGGAGAAATAAAGAAGCTGCCTCTCCTAGCCGCCAGAGCTCCCTGTAGGAGGAGGGGTAAGGGAGAAGATGCAAGGACTTCCCTGAACAGCCCTGCCTGGGAGTGCTATGAGTTCCAGGAAGCTGGCAGCAGGGCCCAGTCATCAGGGCAGAAAACAGAGAAGTGGGATGGAACCGCAAAGAAACAACAGTTGATTTTTACCAGCTGCAGTTGCAAAACCGAGGCTGAGCCACAGCCCCCAACTCCTAATCCAGAGGGCCCCTACCCCATACCCTCCAAGACCGAGCACCGTGGAGCCCCAGGGGAATCTGAGCAAATACTACTGAAACTGTCGCTGACAATGACAAGGGCTGAAACTGAGGGTAGCAAGCATGATTAAATATCTACAAGAAAATAAAAAAGGCATTATTAAGGCTTTATATACAGCAGGGATCCAAGAGGCTTGAGACGCCACCTACTGGAAACCAAAAGAAAAGCGCCTTCCTTGCAACAGGCTAAAGAGAGACCTTTACATAATAAATCTTCCTTTTGGAAAAACAACAGAATACACTTCCATTAATTCCCAGGAGGAGAAATAGTCCATTAGAAACCATGAACAATCAAGGTCACAAGGTATCTCAGGAAGAAAGAGAAAAATGACAGAGAATTCAGGATGGTACTTCTGAAAAAAAACAACGAGTTCCGAAACAAGTCATATCAACAATTTCAGGAATTGAAAAAACAACTAGATGAGCAGAGCAAGGTGACTGAAATCCTCAAAAAGAATGGAATAGATCTTCTGGAGATAAAAAACACACTACAAGAGTTGAAAAATAAAATAGCAAGCTTGGGAAATAGAGTCAACCAAATGGAGGAAAGAATCAGTGATATCAAAGACAGAAATCTAGAAATAAATCAGAAACCAAAGAATGAAAAATAATGAAAGAGAAATACAATAACTAGCTGATACCATGAGGAGAGGAAACATAAGAATAATGGGCATTATCAAAGGCGAGAAAAAGAAGCAGGGACTAGAAAACATTTTCAGACAAATAGTGGGCGAGAATTTCCCAAATCTAAGGAATGAGCTGGAGTTTGGAATTTAAGAGGTCAAAAGAACACC